AATGGCTGAATTATCAAGAGCACTCAGCTCCTACCACGATCCCAGGTTTTCAAGACACAGCTCAGCTCCCAATGAGGCACTGAAATTAGTGGCCAAATTAAAAAAAAAAAAATCAGCATATTGGAAGTTCAGCTCTTTTGAAATTCTGTCCTACTGGTGGAATCCAGCTGCAAAGGTGAGCTGAGTCCTGAGGTGAATGTTCCCAACGTTTGAGGGGGGTTTGGACCCAAGGTTCGCGGTTTGGCCCCCTCTCTCAGACCACACCTTGTTAGATGTCCTCTTTCAAAGCTGAGAGAAGTTGCAATATCGGACACACGCACGCGCACACACGCGCGCACACACGCACGCACGCACACGTGTGCTGTGCCCAAAAGACAACCGAATAAACGTTCCCCTTTGTGAGGTTCTCCCCATCCCTCCCTCAGGAGCCTGAATGAGCTGCGAGCTTTGCTACTGGAAGCAAACCGTCACTCGCCCGGGCCAGAGCGGGACCTGAGCCGAGAGGTGCACAAAGCAGAGTGGAGGCTGAAAGAGCAGAAACTCAAAGACGACATCAAAGGCCTGAGAGAAAAGCTGATAGTGCTGGTGAGAGCAAGGCGCACCCATCCTTGCTGGTTGGCACAGGTGTCTGGGAGGGCTTCACCTAGCTCCTGGTCTTCGGGGGGTGAATGTTTGTGGTGGAACAGACAAAGGTGGGAAGGACTTTTCGCAGCCTGGGGATTCTTTTGGTATCATTGAATTTGCCATAATTTTGTGAATTTTGCTATCATTCAGCAAATTACACTGCGGCTTCCTTTGGTGTCTTGTGTATGTGAACCCCGTCAAAGAAGTGCTGGCTGTCCACCACACCCAGTGGGTGTGATTCTGGGAGCTGCGGCACGCCCTCATCTCCGAGGGCAGGGCATGCAGAAAACCATTAGAACCTCAACGTTCCAAACTGCCGGGTGGTTTTTCAAGTGCATTCATTTTTGCGTGCCCAATTTAAGACACCCCAAATAGGCCTAAACTTCAGGGGCCGAGCATTTGGAATTCTCTGAAAATCAGGCCCCTGTGAGGCGTCTCAGATTGGGCACCCAACAATGGAGACATTGGAAATGATTAATCACTTTTGAACTTTTATCCAGATCGAGGCCTGGTTGCTAATGGAAAGTGCTGTCTGCTGATAGCAAATCCTTGCAAAATTATCGTCATTTTATTGTGAAACATCAAAATACAGATTATGACAATACGGAGCCTATGACCTTCCTTCCCAGCCACATTGCTTTGTTCATAGTACGTTGTGTCTTTGACAGAGGAACCGTCTCACAGTATGTGCGCCAGCTGGGGCATAGTTTAGCATGCACCTACTTAGAGTAATCCTAAATGATCTCAGTCCTTCATCAACATTTGCATTCCCCTTTGTTTTAGAGATGTGCCGTACAGCTGTACTTACAGAGAGCTATACATTTATATTCAAGGCAGGAGCCTCATTTTATCCGGATTGCCAACCCCAGATGTAAAAATAAAAAAATTGTGAATCAAGCCCTGGAAAGTCATGATGTTATTAAATATATATATATTTTTAATTTGCCTTTTTTCTGAGCCTTTAGGATGCACCTGGGTCTTCTTTTTTCCCCATCTTTTCTCTGCAACTGTGATGGCTAGAAACTGACTTTTTTTTTTAATGAAAGTTGAGATTCTTGTGTAATCACATGCCTCCAGAAGCTGGGGCCTTAAGAAAAACGCCAAATACCATGAGACTCATAATAAAATTGTGAGAGTTCTCTTATTTGAATGATGCAAAATGGCATGCACACTTACAGTGCTGTATAAATAATATAATCTGCATAAGTGAGGCCTCACATACCTACACTTATTTTCAAGGGATTGTTTAAAAAAAATCTTGGCAATACTTCCTTTCCAT